ACTACCAATAACATGGAGTGAATTGATTGAAGTCAGTGCCTGAAAGAATATACAATAAACTAGTCGATTTTTAGAATCGATAACATCAATATATTAACTTCGCTTGCCACTTATATTAATGGACTTGTCATCCAGTTGCCACTCAACAGAAATTGCCAAATCCAAAGCCAACCAAATAACTCAAGTGGCAGCAACATTAAGCTTTGCTTTAATAAACTGCACATAAATGCTGAGCTCAGAGGCCAAGTCAAAAGCAACGCCAGACTTATTTGTCTTAACGATTATGCCACAAATGTGTGGAAAGAAAAAACCTTGTTGCAGCAAAAGCAACAAAGACAAACACAGTTTAAAGTGGACGTTAAATGGAAAGTTTACTTTAAGGTTCATTTGCTGGGCAACTAGATTAAGCAGCTAATTCGTTAATGTTTATTGATCTGAATGTTTAAGCCGTTTGCCGACTGCTGACTGCAGTTGTTAGCCAACTTATTTGGGCGAAAGGTTTTTTGGGGCAGGGAGTCCAGTCCAATTGTTATGCAAATCGCGCCGAGATTGCGCAGGACAACAACAACAACAACAACAACAATGGTCAGTGAGTAGAATTGGATAAACAACTGGCCAACAACAAGCAGATCCAAATCGAATTGGCGGCTAACTTGCAAGTTATGGCCAACATAAAGCTAAACTCGAGCACTTCCTGGCAGACAAAAACCCGGCTTCCAATACCAATACCAAGTCCAATTCCAATTCCACTTCCAATTCAAATGCACAACCCGCATAATCAATTGTCATTGCCATTAGCCTGACTCTAATCCCGGCACAGCCAAATTGCGCCACCTTCACTTTTTGGCAAGTCCACAAAAGAGTTTTGTGTTCGAAGTTTATACCCTGTAAAAGGAGGTGTTCAGCAAAGGCTTGTCTATCCATGTGTAAGCTATAACTTTTATAAATAATTGTTAACTAGAAAGCTGAGTGGTTTCCTGTTTTTTAAATAAATAACTAATAAATTATTAATTTATAAATTGAATATAGAAATCCAAAATAAGAAATTATTAAATTAAGAGAATCTAATTAATATTTTAAAAATATATATATTTATAGAAAAGTTTTGCATATTCCCAAAATTCATATTTAAAAGTTCAGTAAAAACTGATCTAAAAATTGAGATAATTTGAGTAGATTAAAATAGCTGATTTCTTGAAAGAGTTTTTCTTTTTGGTAATTTGTTGCTGAACGTGGAAATCTGTATCAGTTTTCGATATGCTGCGATATAGACTAAAAATATCGGTTAATGAAAAGTAGTTCTTTAGAAAAGCGATTTTCCATTGATGTTCCTAATGCCTCGCAGCCAGAGAGAGTATCTCATAGCCTAGTCAAACAAGTCTAGCCAGTAACTCAAAGAAATGTTAAGTACAGGGTATCTTTTGGTCAAGCAACTCTCTTTCTATCTCCTCCCCTCTCTCTATCCTCTATCTCCTTGCCCAACTGTTTACTCTAGTTGATAATACCATTTTTGGGTCGTTCGCCTTAACAGAGACATCCTTGTTAAGCTGAGCGTCAATGCGACACGCAACATGCAACTTTTTGGCAGCAACATGGCAACATGGCAACATGATTGTTAACGCGACCAGAACGAAAGAGGAAAATCGGAAAATTTCAATTAATATTTGGGAAAGTGCAGTGATTGCAATAAGATTACCCCAGGGGCAGCCCCAACTCGAGATGAGCTTGTTAAGGAGGAGCAGGGGCAGACACAGCACAACTCATCCTTGCAGCGAGACATAAATTCATAAACTATATATATATATATATATATATATATATATGTATATAGATATATATAAATAGATTTAATATATATTTCTGGCCGCTGGCTGACAAATTTTACCTTTCCATTTGCTGCAAGTGGCTAAAAGTAAAAGATTGCCTGCAACAGAGACAAAATTGCAGACTTTAGCTAGACGCGGCTGTGGAGGAGGGATGGGTTGGTGTTAGGGGTGCAGAGAGGGGCAGGGGGGTGGGGGTTGTGCTGCGTGTGCTGCCAGCAAACACAGTCGAGAGCGAGAGACAAACGCCTAGCAGCTTATTGAAAATATGCCTAAACCATTTTGCACAATTGACATTTTTAGCTGCAAGTTGCAAGAGTATCTTTCACCCCCATCCCCCTCCCCTTCCCTTCTACCCCCCACACAACACACTCTCTTTTTTTTGTTAGTGCAATTCTCCAATCGACAACGTGACAAAACAATTGTCGTAAATCAGTGGGCCAAAATAAAGCAGGCAAAAACATTGTTTGTTGTTTGTTGCTGCTTTGTTTGTGTTTTGTTGTTTGTTTGCTGTTTGTTTTTTTTTTTTTTTTATTGTTTACTTTCATTTGGCTCGTGGCCGCATATTGTTTTTTTTTAATATTTATTTTCATTATTATTATTTCGTTTTTTGGTTAGCATATTTTATGCATGCCTCATTATGAAGCAGTGGGTGAGCCGTGTTGCAAGTGGGAAAATTCCAAGATGACACTTGGCATGCAAGGTGCAATTAGCGAGAAAGCAAAAGAAATATAAACCAAGGTTTTCTTCTATTTTTTTAGTCTTGCTGCTGCTGCAGAAAGAAAGGCAAATAGATTCTTGATTGTAGAGCGTAGACTGAGTATAAGAAATAGATTTAAAGTGTTAAAGAATCGATTTAAACATTTCTTTAAGCTCAGAGTCGCTTTACAAATTGTGCTTTATATAAAAACAAAATTTATTGATTTGAGAACTAATTAAGAAATGTAGATTTAACGAGTTATGCAGTTTTATAGCTGTGCTCAAACTTGACTTCATTTGACGTGATTCTATTTACAAATATAATTGAGTTTGCATTAGTTTCTTTGATGTGCTTGGCTTTGCCTGAGCCAGAATATCTATATTATATATATATATATATATTATCTTATAGGTAAAATATATATATATTATATTATAGGTAAAAAGAAAATCTCGATTTCTGTTTTTGGCATTCAATCAAATACTACAAAATTTCACTTAAATGCGAGTGCAATCCTCGCCAGCTGCACTTTAAAAGCTTCCTTATGTAACACCCCATAAAAACACACACACTCACACACACACACACTCGCACACATCACATTAGTTAAACAGCTGTCATGGTCAATGTTCAATCGTTGTCATTATTTCAAATGCTTTGGCTCAACTTGAAATCGAGCAAAGCCAAGCCAAGTCAAGCCAAGCAGCGGCGACTGCCAGAGGCGAAATGGGCCTCTTCCGTCTTAGATTTTGACTTTAGACTCGTAGTTAACCCCACCCCTCCCCCCTCCCCTTACCATCCACCCTCCTCACCGCTCCACCCACAAACATACACTGATTTTCACAGGCTATTTTCCCAATGCATTGCATAATTTTCACGCCCAGAGCCACGCAATGAAGCGTTGCAAGCACACACACACACACATCTACAGCAGCGGTCAAAATAATAGTGCCGCACACAATGTTAAAAATCAAATACTTAAAATATAGTTTTAAAAAATATGAAAATCTTACTTAAACACAAGCAATCTATACTAAAGATAATCATATATTAAATGTTGGCATAGCTTTTTATATCTATTTTATATGAATTTTTATTAAATCATTGTTTTAATTTATTATTAGTCGTCAAGTAATAGTAAAGTTTTCTCAGTATATATTTTATTACATTTATCATTTGCAAAATATTAGTATTGAAAAACATTCCCAGTTGATAAAATAAATCATTTTTGTTTGGCAGAATTAAATTTTTGCTTCATATTGCAAATTTTGAATGAGTCGTATTTTGATGAAATGCTACTATTATTTTGACCACAACTGTATGTGTGTACTCTAGCTAGATAATAATCCCCCTGGTGTAGAAATGGAAACCACATCTTGGGGCCACATTTGCCGACTATTCAAGTGTCGTCCAGTTGGCGTTTGAAGCTGTTCACTTTTTGGGGTTATCAACAATGAACAACAATTGTGCCCCCCCCCCCCCCCTCCCTTTTTTTTTTTATTTATGTCTTACCAAGCAATTTTCACTTTTATTTTTTATTTTGTATATTTTTTTTGTTGTTTTCAGCACAATAAATTTGAACGTAAGGCAAATGAAAATGAAAACGGAAAACACAAGGGAACATTGTACGCAGAGGGGGCGGGGCTAAGGGGGCGTAGTTAACGCTCGATCATTACTGCACCAAACAAGTTGATATGTGCTTCCCTCCCCCTCCCCCTCTCCATCCTATGTGCCCCTCAACAACAGAGTTACACAATCTTGGATACTTGTCTATATCTTTTTTTCATTTCTTAGACTTTGACTTTAGCAAGTTGCTGCAGTTTTGTTTCGTATTTTTTTTTTTGTTGCACGCACAAACGGAAACGTGGAAGAAAAAAACAAAACAGAAAAAAGTTGTTATGAAAAGCACATAAAGTCAAAGTCATTGCGAAATGAAAAGAAAAATGAAATGCGTATAATTTTTGTGTTCACTTCGTTACACTTTTACCTGTGATTAGTATCTCAATCTCAATCTTTGCTTTTTTTTTTTTGTGTGTCTGGCTAAAGTCTGGTTTATGGCTTGTTATCATCATTATTTATCTTTGAGGGTTTTTTATTTCACGTTTTTTTTTTCTGTATTTGCTCTTTAAAGTTTAAGTTAGATTTTGTGATAAAAAAAAACAAATCGACAGCCAGCTGCACATAGCTTCGGTTTGAGCAGAAAGAGTGCTGAGATATATCCTGTATATAAAATGAGAATTTTTGTTTAAATTTCTAAAAACAAAAAAAAAATAAATAAAAAAATGTAAGTTAGATAAATTGTAAACAATGCAATGCAGTCTTCAATAATGAATTTAAAATTACCACAAATTTTTCACAATTTAAAATAACTCAATAAACTCCATCAATTCATGTTGCTTCAGCACGCATGTTGCTGCAACATTTTGCGCCTCAGCTTATGCTACATGTATATTTTTGTATCAAACTTAAAGACTTACCGAGTGTACTGCTAGATGGCGCTGTAATTCTGCATTCGAATAGAGCGTCAATTCCGAAATGGTTGGTGAACTCTCTAGTTTGCTTTCCATGTCGCGCAGCCAGCGTCGCAACTCCTTGGGATCTTCGCACAGACCCTCCTGTCGCTGATTATCATCCAATATCTATAAAAATACACAACAGCATTATAACATATATATAAAAACTTTCAATTTACATGTTTAACATGCAAACCTAAGTGTGATTTAGTACAGATTGCTGTGAAACTTGACTAACTAGGTCTAAGAACATTCAGCACATAGAAGTGCTGCTACTGCACGATAGAGGGCGCAAGTTTTAATACTCACATGAAGCTGGCTGCCCGTAAATTTGTACTCGCGTGACGTTGGCTGTGCCTCCTCAATTTCAAACCGCGCCTCCTTGCACGTATCGAGCAGGTTCGTGTCCATGATGTAATTATAGTTCGTTTGTATGGCCGCCCAAAAGTCATCTTTGCCCGACGAGCCCAGCCCAAGGGTGGCGCTGCTGTGCAGACTGGTGGAGCTGCTGTGACTGTGGCCGCTGCCCCACGAATAGCGGTGCATTTTGTTGTTGTTGCTGGAGCACTTGCTGCTCGCGCTGCTCGGTGAGTTTTTCTGCGGAAAACAAAGAGAGAGAGAAACCATTAATAGTTGTTAATAAATAAGTAATTTAAGGCAGCCAAATATGGACGCGATAATATGCTTAGCCATCTATGGGCCGACAGCAAAAGCTTTGACCGGTTCAAAGCCGCTCCAAAAAACAAATTGTAAAAAGCGCGCGTAATTAATTAAATTGAATTTTTATTTGTCGGCGCGGCGACAACAAGAAAAAGTCACAACAACACAAATGTAGAGGAAATTCCTGATTAACACGATCTCGTAATGCTCAAACAAAGTCAAAAGGCAGCAACAAACTAAAATTGCAATTGCATTACGACGAATCAAATCAAAATTTGTAGTTTATGTGTCGAATGAATTGATTGAATGACTGGCGCCATATGCAATTAATTAAATTGAATAAGCAGCAACAGCTCAGACCGAACCGACCCCCTCGCTGACCCCTCCTCCACCCCCTTCGTCCACTCAGCCGCTGAATGACTCAAATTTCTGTACAGTTTTCGAGTTTTTCGGTGGCAGCTGCGAGAGGCAATTATGCATTTGATAAATCAACATATTCAATAATTCAGCTTTGCGAATTGAAACGTGGGATTATTTTTGTGTTGATATTTATAATATATATATGCAATCAGATACTAATAAAAACCATAAATCAAAAATTGAGCATAGAGAAATATAATCTCCGATTTTGCAACTTTGGTGGAGCGTTTGGCAATGAAAATAATTTCACAATTTGTTGAGGTATCTTTATGGTATTTATTTATTTAAGCTTTCCTTTATATAACTGATCTTTAGGCATACTAAATTTAACAGGAAGTTAGAATTCAATATCCGTATATTCAAGTTGTGATTCGTCGGCAGGTGAAGATTTGGAGCAATGCAACTGGCAGATGTGTCGCTTGCAAGACCGTAAGAGGGAACACTATGAAGTGCTGCCAAAGTCGAATTCGGAGAGGTGCAACCAACTCATCGAAGGCAGCAAGTGCAGATGGTCGCGATAGGTTAATATCGGATCGGCCTTGTAGAAGGGATACGAGTATATTCAATAATTGTGTGCCAATGACTTTCAACGGTTAAACCACAACAAATGAGATAATGATTATTAAAGATTAACATTTTTCTACGACGACAACGAGGACAACCAGCTCAGAGATCTAAGTTAGTACAATAAACCAGCTGACTTTTATTGAAATATAATAGCTAAGATCGATGATAATTCAAGAATAGATTAAAAAGCGTGTGTAAAAGTTAAAATAGTGTAAATTAAAAATATACAATATTATATAGCAAATAAAGAATCGAATTGTATTTTCCTTCAGATGTAGAAGGTGCCGAGACGAAGAAGAAGAGTTGGTGCAAGATGGAAGTGCTTCAATATACGGAATTTAAAGAATGTTATAAGTAATCTGCCTTCCATGTTTGCTGGCTGTGGAATGATTATAATCTATATTCCAAGCTTCGAGTCTCTAGCCTCTGTCAACCTTCGGTTTCAGATAATGACAAACAAAGTTCACAAAATAAAAAACAAGTAAATAAACATTATCAATCAGCATATATATTTTTTCATCTGTCTTGCAAGCTGAGAATAGCATTTAATTTAAGCAAACAGCAAGCGAAATCATATATAAATAATCAAATATAAATAATTATTTCAGTATTGCCCAGTATACAGCCACCAGCAGATCGATTACAGCTAGAGTCAAGGATGGACTTGAAAGTGGTAATATTTCTGTGCTTGTTGATTACAGGTCTATTCGTGTATTCAACTTGTTATCCGTTGGAAAGTGAAGATTTGGAGCAATGCAAGGGGCAAATTTGTCGCTCGCAAGACCATAAAAGTGAACACTATGAGGAGTGCTGCAAAAGTCGAATTCGAAGAACTGTCATTTGTATGTTCGGTCCGAGTTGTAGAAAGAATATGTTATATGAGCGTAAGCGACTGCGTTTCACCACAACCACAACAAAGAAGATAATGATTATTAAAGATTAACATTTTTCTACGACGACAACGAGGACAACCAGCTCAGAGATCTAAGTTAGTACAATAAACCAGCTAACTTTTATTGAAATATAATTGTTAAAATCGATGATAATTCAAGAATAGATTAAAAAGTGTGTGTGAAAGTTAAAATAGTGTAAATTAAAAATATACAATATGATATGGCAAACAAAGAATCGAATTGTATTTTCCTTCAGATGTAGAAGGTGCCGAGACGAAGAAGAAGAGTTGGTGCAACAGGTAGGTGCTCGATGGAAGTGCCTCAATACACGGAATTGAGGAATTGAATACAGGCAGCCAAATATGGACGCGATAATATGCTTATCTATGGGCCGACAGCAAAAGCTTTGACCGGGTCAAAGCCGCTCAAAAAACAAATTGTAAAAAGCGCGCGTAATTAATTAAATTGAATTTTTATTTGTCGGCGCGGCGACAACAAGAAAAAGTCACAACAACACAAATGTAGAGGAAATTCCTGATTAACACGATCTCGTAATGCTCAAACAAAGTCAAAAGGCAGCAACAAACTAAAATTGCAATTGCATTACGACGAATCAAATCAAAATTTGTAGTTTATGTGTCGAATGAATTGATTGAATGACTGGCGCCATATGCAATTAATTAAATTGAATAAGCAGCAACAGCTCAGACCACCCCTTCCACCCCTTCGTCCACTCAGCAAGGCATACTAAATTTAACAGGAAGTTAGAATTGCAGTGAGTACATTGCTAATTGGTGGAAATTATTTGAAAGTTAACTCAACCTGCCTGAAAACTAATTGGTTGCTGTCAAATTTGCACACAATTATCACATTTGGTTGATAAGACGGGATGGGAAATCGTAATAAATAAATTAAATGTTAATTTATACATTTAAATAATTTATTTACTCATTTCATTTGAACAGCAATATTTGTACTAATAGCAAACAAAGCAGTATTAAAAATGAACAAATAGGAAATATTATCGACTCGACTGCTGATATATATATATATATATATATATATATATATATGTTCTGTGAAGTTACAAAACTTCAAAGACATAATATAATAATACCCTCCTCATCGAGTGTATGAAGATGATGGTTTTAGAATCTGTCAAACTTAATTTATTATAATTAAATTAAATTAAACATAATAAATATTAACACTTAATATGGGCGAACTAAATAATGTTTATACGAGCCACGTTTAGATACGCAAAACGCCGAGCAAAGATTGCAAATTGGCACGTTGTGGAATTTATGTAAAAAAAACACCTTGTCAATTTTTTTTAACCGTTATGTGTCGCTCATTTGCATGGCAAGCCAATCAAATGAATGAATTATTAATAATTTATCGGAGCAATTTCCGCTCAACACACACACACAGAGAATGTGTGAGAGAGAGCGAGAGAGAGAGAGAGGGAAGAACAAGAGAAACAAGCACAAGAACTAGAATCAGAACAAGTATTTCATATGCCTAACGGTGGCTTGTCATTTTTAAGACACATGGCCATGAATGGAGCAATGCCCCCTCTATCGGCGGCTAGAGCAAACACAACTTGTTAGCGTGTGCGAGAGAGACAAAGAGAGAGGGAGAGAGAGAGAGCGAGAGAGAGTTTGCGACAAAAGTCAACTTGCAACAATTACAAATTTATGCGCACAACCCACAGTGGAAATTGTGGACTGCACCTGCAGCCGGACGACACTCACCTTGAGGCTGTTGTAGGGTCGCTCCAGATGCAGTTTGGCCTGGATGACGTCACGTCGCTCCTGTTGCAGCTCATCGGCTGGCAGCGATGTCATCGATTGCGATATTTTCATATCCTTTTGCACCACACCGGCACCACCAGCACCACCACCAGCACAACCAGCACCAGATTCTGCTTGAAGGTTGCCAGCATTGCGTCGCTGTTTCCGCAGTGAGCTGCTGCGACTGTTGCTGGCCGATTTGGTGGCATTGTGGCCCGATTTGGTGTTGCGTTGTGTTGCTGCCACAGCGGCAGTAGCAGCAGCAGCAGCTGGCATCAGAAATGCGAAATCCTCCTGCAATCTGAGTGTATTCGTGTTCATGTTCATGTTCGATGTGGTGCTTGCTTTATTAGTTGTATCGTTGATGGCCATTTTATCAGTCTCTTGGTTGCTTAATGACGTCACAATCGCAATTGCAGTCTCCTCTGTGGTTGCCATTGCTCTTGCTCCATCTTCTTCCTCTTCTCCGTCTCTTTCTACAGTTGCTGTTGCAGTTGCTGCTATTTCGTTTTCATTCATGTGCTGCTTTACTTCTGTGGCAACTTCCATTTTTGTTTTGGCCGCTAATTGTTTTTGGTTCCGATTTCCATGTGTTTTTTTGAGTGTGTGTGTGTGTGTGTGTGTGTGTGTGTTTTATGTTAATTTAATTAATTTGCTTAAAATCTGCTTTTAGCCGCTGTTCGTGTTTCGTGTTGGTTTTTTTTCTGTTTAGTTGTTGTTGCACTTAAAATGCATCAATTTGCATGCTGGCCATCGTTGGGTGTTCGTTGGCTATTCATGCCACCGTTCCGCTGTGCTGAGTCTCGACCTTTTGTGGGCTCAGTTCCAGTTCCTGGATAAGGTTTATATCTTTCTTCGTTATTTTTTTTTTTTTTTTGGGATTCGTTTTCCGTTTGTTGTTTTTTATGCAAAATACTTTTCTCGTTATTTTGTTAAAACAAAAATCTGTTGGATTTAATTGTTGATTTCACTGTAATTATAGAAAGAAAAACAGAAACAGAAACAAATGTGTTTAATGCGAATTAATTCAAGGAAAATCAAAATTATGCGAAATATATGCAAATTATTATGCTATAAATATCAGTTGTGGTTTAAATTGATTTTAAATGTATATATCTCTGGAGGTCACTATTATTCACAAGTTAATAATGATTAACTAATATGACTACTTATTATACCCTCAACTCATATGTAACGGGCAAAAGGAAGCATCTCCACAAACTATAAAGTTGGTATATATTCTTTTAGGTTAGTCAGTGAGTCGATCTCTGAGATTATTACATCAATTATGATATATATTTGTATACCTTACGCAGATCAATATCGATAGCAATCACTTTTATAAGGATATAGTCCTCTAATTGGTATATGATGTACCTTGATCAACTGTGCATATTTAATGCAGATCGAATAAGAAAAACAGATCTTAAACTAATAACTGTGTACCGATGAAATCAAAGACGAGCTCTCTCGACTACAGAATTCTATTTTATTGGCATAAAATCTGCATATGTTGTGATTTATGTTTATTATTTGTTGCAGAGAAAACCAACTGAAATACTGCGAAGCTCTACATCTACTAAGAAGAATAAGACAAGCTATTTGAACATATTGCAACACTATTCAAATATTAAATAAGCCGCACACAAATTGGTATTACCAAACAACGTAATATCTTGCTCATATCTCAGTAGACATAAGAATTTTACCGCCTGCCTTTTTATGGCTTCAAACTGCAGCTAAAACATATATGAATATATATATATATATATATATATATATATATATATATATATATATAAATCCACATATATCTGACATCACACCCACAACAATGGGCAACAAGCTGCAAATGGCAATTAAAGCCAACTGTATCTAACAGCCACATAATTAAAGTGGAAGGCCAACGACTCTTGGATGCATAAAAGGCAAAGAGATCACAGCAAAAACCAAAATAAAAAATATGGTAATAATAATAATAATTACGAGTATTACTTAATAAGAAAAAGAAAAAAATGAAACAAACAAACTGTCGTTCAACTGACCCAACTGATGGGGGGCAGGGGAAACGGCGCAGATTGGCAGGGCAGTTGTCTGACTTGGTAAACAAATAAAAAAATAAATAAAAAACACAATGCAAACGACGACGATTCTAATCGGGAGCAATCAAATTTTCATACGAAATTAGTCGCGAAAACACTTGTGGGCCATATTTGTATGCAAATCGAGTTTTGCACGCTTAACCAAAATTGGCTGCTAGCGTTTATTTGGCCACTTAAGATACCCAAACTACTACTGAACAACAACAACAACAGCAGCAGCAGCAGCAGTAGTCGTAGTAATAATAACAACAGCAACACTTTATAATGTGGGTCCACTATTGCATACCCTGTAAAGTTATTTTCAGAATGTCAAACTCAGGTAAAACTTGATAGAAAGATATACAAAGCGACTAGCAATGACTTGGAAAGAGATACAGAAAAAGGTTGTTAATTAGAAATGAAATATAATTAAAATCTATCAAAGTAAAAGGTATATATATATATATATATATATATCTAGAGTGAGATGTGTATTAAGTTGTTTCAACTACATAAACAGTGCTTATCAAGTTTGTAAGCGAACTTTTGGGCCCTGCGCCTACAATTTCGAGATACCCCATCAGTTTCGGGAGAAAGTTGAAAACAATCGCATAATGATCCACACAAAAAGTGGGAGTCGACGGGGCGCACAATTGTCGACAATCTGTCTGGGCTGTCAACAGAGAGGTCGCCGCGTGCCACAAAAAGCATACAAATCGACGCTATAATTGTTGATCAAAACAGTCTGTGAACACGGCTGATAACAGCCCATGTCAGCTGATAGCCTCGCAATCAGAGTATTAATATTCAAACCGACTGTGTTATTGACGCGTGTGCAGGATATTTATTGATGGAATAGCAAATCTTAAGTATGAGCTGCAATTTAAATAAACAAAAAGGAAGCGACTTTCTTAGTCACTGTTTTCTCTAGCTTCTGTTAACCTGCGGTTTCAGATAATGAGAAACAACTGATTGCATTCGCCATTCGAAGAAGGTTGATATAATCAACAAGTAAGTAAACTTCATCAATCAGCAAACATATTTTTTCATCTGTCTTGCAAGCTGAGAAATGCATTTAATTTATACAAACAGCAAGCGAAATCATATATAAATAATTATTTCAGTATTGCCCAGTACACAGCCACCAGCAGATCGATTACAGCTAGAGTCAAGGATGGACTTGAAAGTGTTAATATTTCTGTGCTTGTTGAATACAGGTCTATCCGTATATTCAAGTTGTGATCCGTTGGAAGGTGAAGATTTGGAGCAATGCAAGAGGCAGATGCATCACTGGTTTGACCTTAAGAATAAACACTATGAAGAGTGCTGCAAAAGTCGAATTCGGAGAGGTGTTCAAGATCCACGGAATGAGTGCGAATCCGAAGCAAACAATTACGCAACCAACTCATTAATTTCGCAGTCAACAATTGGAGGTGCCATCTCTCTGATTGTATTTGGTAGGCCTTGTAAAAAATATGTAGGAAAAATTTGTGTACCATTGACTTTCAGAGATGAAACCACAACAAATGAGATAATGATTATTAAAGAATAACATATTTCTACGACGACAACGACCACAACCAGCTCAGAGATCCAATAAACCAGCTGACTTTTATTGAAATATAATAGCAAAAATCGATGATAATACAGGATTAGAATAAAAAGCGTTTGTGAAAGTTAAAATAGTGTAAATTAAAAATATACAATATTATATAACAAATAAAGAATCGAATTGTATTTTCCTTCAGATGTAGAAGGTGCCGAGACGAAGAAGAAGAGTAGGTGCAAGATGGAAGTGCCTCAATACACGGAATTTAAAGAATGTTATAAGTAATCTGCCTTCCAAGTTTGCTGGCTGTGGAATGATTATAATATGTATTCCAAGCTTCGAGTCTCTAGCCTCTGTCAACCTTCGGTTTCAGATAATGACAAACAAAGTTCACAAAATAAAAAACAAGTAAATAAACATTATCAATCAGCATACATATTTTTCATCTGTCTTGCAAGCTGAGAATAGCATTTAATTTATGCAAACAGCAAGCGAAATCATATATAAATAATTATTTCAGTACTGCCCAATACACAGCCACCAGCAGATCGATTACAGCTAGAATCAAGGATGGACTTGAAAGTGATAATATTTCTGTGCTTGTTGAATACAGGTCTATCCGTATATTCAAGTTGTTATCCGTTGGAAGGTGAAGATTTGGAGCAATGTAAGAGGCAGATTCATCACTGGCTTGACCTTAGGAATAAACACTATGTGGATTGCTACAATGGTCGAATTTGGATGTGTGTGCAAGATCGACGCAATCAGTGCGAATTCGAAGCAAACAATTACGCAACCAACTCATTATTTTCGGAGACAGCAAGAAGAGATATTGTCCCTTTTTCGTTGGATGCGCCTTGTAGAAGGGATATATTCAATAGATGTGTGCCAATGACTTTCAAATATTAAACCACAACAAAGAAGATAATGATTATTAAAGATTAACATTTTTCTACGACGACAACGAGGACAACCAGCTCAGAGATCTAAGTTAGTACAATAAACCAGCTGACTTTTATTGAAATATAATAGCTAAGATCGATGATAATTCAAGAATAGATTAAAATGCGTGTGTAAAAGTTAAAATAGTGTAAATTAAAAATATACAATATGATATGGCAAATAAAAAATCGAATTGTATTTTCCTTCAGATGTAGAAGGTGCCGAGACGAAGAAGAAGAGTAGGTGCAAGATGGAAGTGCCTCAATACACGGAATTTAAAGAATGTTATAAGTAATCTGCCTTCCAAGTTTGCTGGCTGTGGAATAATTATAATATGTATTCCAAGCTTCGAGTCTCTAGCCTCTGTCAACCTTCGGTTTCAGATAATGACAAACAAAGTTCACAAAATAAAAAACAAGTAAATAAACATTATCAATCAGCATACATATTTTTTCTGTCTTGCAAGCTGAGAATAGCATTTATTTTATACAAACAGCCAGCGAAATCATATTTAAATAATCAAATATTAATAATTATTTCAGTACTGCCTAATACACAGCCACCAGCAGATTGATTAGAGTCAAGGATGGACTTGAAAGTGATAATATTTCTGTGCTTGTTGATTACAGGTCTATTCGTGTATTCAACTTGTTATCCGTTGGAAGGTGAAGATTTGGAGCAATGCAAGGGGCAAATGTGTCGCTCGCAAGACCATAAAAGTGAACACTATGAGGAGTGCTGCAAAAGTCGAATTCGGAGAGCCGCAACCAACTCAATATACAGGGAGTCACTAACTCGAGCTGTTGCCCAAGGAATAATGTTTGGAATTGGTTGTAGAAAGGATATGCTCAGTAATTGTATGCGAATGACTTTCGAGATTAAACCACAACAAAGAAGATAATGATTATTAAAGATTAACAATTTTCTACGACGACAACGAGGACAACCAGCTCAGAGAACCCAATGAGATCAACGAGCCCATGGAACGCAATGAACCAACTGAGTCTGCTTATGAAAATATGTCGGATTTGTTAGCGATCTGATAACGCATAATCGATGAAAATACAAGAAATTATTTGTAATTTGAAGCTGATTCACAAGTGTGTAATTAAAATAGTGTAAATTATATAATACATACAGATACATAAATAAATAATCGCAATTTTTCTCTGTTATTTTGTTATACATATTTCAAGTCGCTAGTTTCTGCACAACACACCAATATACTCTACTATCGTTCGTGCTAGAGTATCAAAGGAGGACATTAATTTTTAATTTCATGGACAATAATTTGTGTTCGTTGGATCCATTTGAAAAGGCGACTCTCCTCTCGACTTGTTGTTCATTCTTTTGGCTTTGCGTCGCTAGTCAAGCCAACAAACAAAAACAACAACAGCA